AAAAAGCCTTCATGTCTTCTTTAACATTAAAGTTCAGCACAATGAAATCTTGTCCTTTTAGCACTGAACTTAATTAAAAAGTTATTCTTGCTGGATTGTATTTCAATCAAAAGATGCCCTTGTTGCATTGACTTTAAAATGGATGCCCTTCTAGTGATCACTTCAATGAAAAGTGCCCTTTTAGTATTTGACTTATTTGACAATAAAGAAAATGCTCTTTGAGCATTATACTTCAGTAGAAAGTTACTTCTGCATTGGATTTCAATAAAAAAAGTGCCCTTCTTGCATCACAAGTCAATAAATAGGTCCCTTTTTGTTTGTCGCATCAAGAAAAAGTGCCCTTTGAGCATYGTACTTTAGTAGAAAGTTACTTTGTCATTTTAGTTTGCTTGAAAGGTGCCTTTTTTGCAMTATACCTCAATAAAAACAATTCTTTTAGAACTCTACTTCGATGAAAAAAGCACCCTTTTAAAATGCAATTTAGGTTAAGTTAAACTCGAGGCTCACAGCTAAGCATAGAGGGGGCCCCCTTTGCTTGCAGGGCCACATGGTATCTTYATGTGTTTGTTGGACGCACTAAGTCACTTCAATTCATTTGATTKTCCTGTAGTTTTTGTCTTTTTGAGCCTTTAATCATTGTCTTTTGAAGTCAACCAATGTAACGGTCAACAATGCCACGGTCTTCGTATAATAGCTGTTCAGCAGCACTTTTCAGAAATTTTTGAGGCTAAGTCTTGCTCAGAGATCTCAATGCTTGTTACTTCAAAAGCTGGATCTTCACTGGTGGATATAGCTTCTTCTTCTAAATTGTCATCTGGTCTTTCTGCTAAGGACTGCTACTGAAGCAGCAATGGCGGCTGAAGGGGTTCATCAGCAGTGGTAAACATGTCAGCCCYGCCAAATACAGGAAATTCCTTGACTACGAGTGGTATGGTATCACAGGATCAGCTTCATGTGATGGCCAATAGTCTTGTTCTTGCTGGAAGCAGTTTGCTGGCTTGGACAGCAGGCAACCAAGGTATGTCAGTGTCTGTACCATCCTTTTTGTCAACCTCCTTGTTGCAATCGACTCAGGTGGCATCTACTAGTGTTTTACCAGCATTGAGTCTGTTGGTGTCAGGTGCCATGTTTCCATCTGTGGGCATGAATGGTGGTCTCAGCTCGTTGCTTGAGGAACATTTTGTTGTATGCCCCGATTTTTTACCGGTTCTGCCAAAACTTGTCACTCAAATTTGGGCTGGTAAATATATTGATTTAAGCAAGCTGTTGACTCCAAATCGTATGCAAACAGAGCTGCAATTGCTATTTGATGACTGTTTTGTGTTAATGTCCTCAAGAAAGACACACCAGAAGATTGAAGATATCATTAGTTGGTGAGAGGTGTTCACCGTATTTTCAATGGTAGTTTTCTTGAAAGGTGCCCCTTTTGCATCACTCTTTTTACACTATTCTTTTAGAACTGCACTTHAATGAAAAAGGTGCCCATTAAGCTTTTTACCTCAATGAAAAAATACAGTTTAAAAAACTTTTGCCCAGTTAACATTGTTCTTCAGTACAAAATGTCCCCTATTAGCATTGACCTTTAGTAATGTGCCATTTTGCCATTTCAACCATTTGAATAAGTTGCTCTTGTATTTTAAAAACTTTTTCTTTTGTTTAAATTGCTTAGCTATTCTCTTGCTTCCATTTCTTTATGWAGGACAAATATTCTACCATGCAGGGAATTTGTTTAAAACTCAATTGCAGCATGCTTTATAATTTTTCAACTTCACATAACTTTAACATTACTTGTACATTTTCATAAATAAACTTTTACTGACAAAAGATAACTCAATAATATCATCAATTATATTAACTTAACTGTAAATTTTATCAAACAATGAATGCATAAACAAAATATGTTGATACTATGTGTGGAAATGTGCTAACGTTGTGAGATGTTCAAGTCTACTTAATAGTCTGTTCCACTTCTAAAAAAAAGAATCACTAGGAGCCAATAGCTGTATGAGGAGATACTATGATACCAACACAGTTACAATAGCATAATATCATTTCCTTCAGATGATGAACAAGTTTGACCAGAACCTACCAACACTGTAATGTATGCAAGATATATAATGTACAGTTCTGTGCTTATTTTCTGCCTCAAGTCTTACTTGTATGTAGTGAAAAAGTGATGCCCTGAAGACAATAACAATTATAGCACTACCTACCAAAGCCACGACTCAATCATCATGTTTTGTAGTTCAAATCATTTTGCATGTCATTACTCAGCATGGGGATGGCTTGGCACTTCGGTTGCAACACCAGGCCAAGCAGCATTCTTAAGGCCAAATAAGATGGCACAACTTTTGCATCCAACTATCWTATACAATATACCCAAGTCACCTACAACAAGGCTACAGATCCCAAATAATTATACAATAGCCCTATGGGTTGTAGACAAGCTGTGAAGATGACTTAGGCATGTTGCATGCGATGATTGTAGACAATAGCTGTACCATCTAATTCAGCCATTAGACCAAGAAAAACAGCTGGAGTGTATTCTAAGTGTTCAAGTTTGTCGAAATTGCTAACAGGATGCTGAAAACAAGCAAAATTATTAATAAATATATATAAAATAAATAAATAAATTATATGCATAATGACAATCTTAAAAAAGGTCGTGATAGCTATAAATAGTATAAGCACGGTATAACGATGCACATATAGAGTATACTTGATAAACATAAATATAATATTATTAAAGTTTATAAAAATGGATTCAAAATTAAATGTAAAAGCATTTTGTGACAAAATAATAGTAAAAAACATAAAGCAAACAAATAAAACATGTATTAACATACATTCTATCATAAACAAAGTATACATATTACTTCTCAACAACAAAACAAAACGAAATAAAACAAAACAACATGTTTTCACACCTTTTCTTTGGAGCGAGGTCAAGCCAAGTTGCACATCCAGGAGACATCATATTTTGCAGCCCAAACGACAATAAAAAGCATCTATTTCGACATAAAAATGGAGATAAATGATTTACATAAGTACTAAAAAGCTTATGGCAGAATAAAACACTTAAAATTAKATAAAAAACGCACAAAATATGCAGGAAAATACATACCCTTCCTTAAACACTTCGTTCATCTCAGACCATGTGCGCTTGAACGACGCCGGCGTGGTACTATGGGTAGTCAATGTAACACAGGGAGTCCAGACTAGCATTTAAAATCACTTAGTTATTTTTCTTTTCCTTCACTTCTCATAATCTAACACTTTCTTGGGCTAATTTCTTTTTTTCTTGTATTTTGTCGTTCCAGAGATCTAAATACATCAACACATACACGCCAATTTTCGGCATATATTGATGAGCAAAATCTACACAAGTTATAAGCCATGTACTTTATTTTATCGCTCAAGATTTAGAGGTTCAATTTATGGCTTTGATTGAGAAAATGAAAAAATGAAAWTGTAGTCAGACTCAACTCCAAAACAGTGCATATGCAGGTTCCGTTCTCATTGGAGTACATTGCAGTGATTTGTATGTAAAATTCAACGTTAGAATGCTTCAGTCATGCAATTGCAAGAGTTAGAATTCTTCAAGGACGAACAATGATATCATCCAGATAACGTCGGTAAGGTTAGAACTTGCGCGCTTTTTTTTTGTGACGAAAGGCCTTATGGGGCCTCTCGTCACTWTGTCATAGTGTTGGGTGACCGACGGTAACATCCACTTGTAGCAGGCGTTCCTTGCGAGTCCTTGATTTCAAGTTGAAAAGAGAAAATCTCTAGAGAAAAAAAAAACGAAGTAACAACACCAAAGAAAAGAAGAAAAGAAGAAAAGAAAGAAGAAAAGAAAACAAGAAACAAACGAAAAAGAAACAAACAAGCGAAAAAAAGAGAAATTCCAGAAGCAGGAATCGAACTCAGAACTTTCACTTCAGGAGAAGATGTACCCCCTGAATACATAAGAAATAATGAAAATAAAAAAACTAAAAAGATGGGACGATTCCCCCGAGACATTCTATGAAGCTGAGGCGTCGAATCGGCTTACGTTACGGTTAGAGATTTCGGCTCTTCCACGCTATCCCGAGTGAACATAAAACTTAGTCTTAACCAAAAGGCCAGKGAGTGAGGGGGTAGCCGCCCACTAGAGCATACCTYTAGCTACCCTCTTAGACCATCGTACTATGAAGACACTTATAGATATCTAATAACTAATGGGGGTAGTCTATTCGGTGAAGTTCTATGCTAATATATGACGTCACCAAAATCCTTAGGGAGAAGCGAACCAATCAGAACTCAGCTCGGGAACTAGCAAACGATACAGGCTTTGCATTATCATTTTCAGTGGATTTATAATTTGATAGGGGTGGGGGTGGGGGGTGGGTGCTGAGCGCTGGTTTGCGGCCGAATACCGCTGTTCGATGTAATATGACGGCTTTCACCAAACTGTTCAATTGTTGTTATTGTTTTCCAAATCATCACAGCCAGTAAGATTAAGTGTACAGTTTTTATATCAGACAGACATTATTTGTATTCGGATAAACACCACGGCACAAATCTCTTGAAATTCTTAACGTAAGTGGTTTACAAACCAGGCAGATATTTGCTGGAATTGAACGTACATGTACATTTTCGTTCTTGATGATATAAAAGTTTACACATTATTGAATAGGAAAACTTAGCAAGCTTTCGCTTCTATTGTAAAACTATAATCAGGCCAATGTTAGTAATTTTAAAACATGGATGCAAAAATACAGGTTTCGATAACAAAAACATTTTATCATAGAAAACGTTCGAGAATTCATCATGAGTTTATAAGTCAACAGATACAGAAAGATGTCTTTGACTACAGCTAAATTAAAGCTCTAAGGATCGCTCCATGTCGTGGATAATTCCGAATCTTTCAGACGGATATGTATATTACGCAGGGAAACAGTGCACCCCGCGTCAGGCCCCACGAGAGGAATGATCAACCATCACAATATGTTTCTTGGCCCCTGGGAATCGCCGCCGGTTATGTATTCATAGGAAACGTAATGATTGATCGCCACGTGATGCTTCCAGTTCCTTGCAGCGTATACAGATTCAGAAAACGTTGTATACTGAAGATAGTGTATTCGAAGTTACTAAATCTCTTAATGGCCTGAGTCACATGAAGTCCTCGACTGGCTATTTTTTTATAACGCAATAATGGGCTATCATCTTCCAGAGCATACTAAAGAGCGCAATTAAGCGAAAGTCGGGCAAAAACAGCCCATTTTCGTTATATAATAAAAGGCTATATAAGCGCACAGTTGGCGGTGACGCAAGTTTTTTATCTTCACCACGACGTAAGCTTTGAAAACGTCTTCACAATAGTTCTATTTTTTAGCTATTGAGTACGCCTTTGACGGAACTAAAATAAGTATAAAGAACAGATAAGGAGGACCTTCAGTTACACAGTTTGAGGAAAATGAGACATTATTAAGTTGTTAAATAATGTTTAATAGTAAAACKTATCTAAANGTACACATGTATAATCAACAAAATGGCATCAACAACAATTTTTTTCTTATGCGAGAAACTGTTTTTTTTTTTTCAAAAAAGAAATGCTGTGAATACATGCATGATAATATACATTATGTTTTGTGATAAATTATATTCCACTTTAAGCCAAATTATGTCATTTGAAATGCCAAGAAAATTTGGGCAACAATTCACACAACAAGATATAATATTTTCTTCAAACATTGGATCAAACTTCAAAAAGGCAAATTGTCATTTGAGCTAATATGTTAACTCTCAATTATTTGAATGTTAAATTAAACCTGGGATCTGAGGTCTTCAAAGAATTATTTTTTCACTACTCTTATATTAAAAAAAAAATAAAAAAAACATATCAGAACATCCTTTCTTACTAAAATAAAAGTCAAAATGGAATCGTGAATATAAGTGATATATCGATGGCGTATGAATTATAGTCAGAGAACTGAAAGTCATTCATCAGATAAGTTTATAAGTGACGAGGTATAACAAGGTGACCCATGAAAAGAAGGGTAAAAACACCAAACCTCAAAATAACATACATGCAACAAAGAGGTCAAAGTGACAACACTGTACCTCCATGAATTTCTCAGAAAACCATTGCTTGAATGTTACTTGATACAAGACTGACAAGATGTTGAAGTATCAAAGATACGTTGTTTAAATGGAAAATTGCCATCTTAATACCAACATACAATGTAGGAACATGCTGAGAATTGAAATGAACAAAAACTGTCATATGGTCAATGTATTCGTCCCATTTTGCTATATTTGAACAAATGCAACCAAATATAGCTTTTGCATATAAACTGACCGGCCTTTTTCTTGTCGAAAGTTTCTTTGCTGGTGAAAAAACTATCTTAGGTTAAATTGAACATAAAAGTTTTTTTGCCACCAATACTGATAAACATTATAAATCGKCTGTATGTTTCTTCTCTGCTGATTGAAGCCTATTATTTTGAGAATACTGTAGGATCATTGGATAAGTTATTAATCAATTCAAAATGGCTTCTAGTTTATTAATTCAACATGGCTTCCAGTCAATCAATTCAAAATGGCTAATCCAGTTAATCAATTCAAAATGGCTTCCAGTTAATCAATTCAACATGGCTTCCAGCTAATGATTTCAAAATGGCTTCTAGGTTAATCAATTCAAAATGGCTACTTAACTTATAAATTCAAAATGGCTTCCAGCCTAATTAATTAAAAATGGTGGCAAAGTTAATTAAAACAGCTTTTTCCAATTAAATTGCATGGTGGTAGTTGGCCTTATCGGATTATCCTTCACATTTAACTCACTTTATTATCCCTGAAATATACTTTTTGTCTTCCAGTCAGATTTGATAATCATAACTTATTGCGGAGTTGCCTGAATGTTGCTAAGTGATGAGCCTATTGATCACACAGTGCATCACTGTCATGTATATTCAGTGGGTGGTGGGGTGGGGTCGCCTGAGACTCACATTTGCACTGACCCTCNTTTTTTTTCAAAAAAGAAATGCTGTGAATATACATTATAATATACATTATGTTTTGTGATAAATTATATTCCACTTTAAGCCAATATGTCATTTGAAATGCCAAGAAAATTTGGGCAACAATTCACGCAACAAGATAATATTATCTTCAAACATTGGATCAAACTTTAAAAAGGCAAATTGTCACTTGAGCTAATATGTTAATGCTCATTTATTCGAATGTTAAATTAAACATGGGATCTGAGGTCTTCAAAGAATTATTTTTTCACTACTCTTATATTAAAAAAAATAAATAAAAAAAACAGATATCAGAACATCAGCCTTTCTTACTAAAATAAAAGTCAAAATGGAATCGTGAATATAAGTGATATATCGATGGCATATGAATTATAGTCAGAGAACTGAAAGTCATGCATTCATCAGATAAGTTTATAAGTGACGAGGTAACAAGGTGACCCATCAAAAGAAGGATAAAAACACCAAACCTCAAAATAACGTACATGCAACAAAGAGGTCAAAGTGACAACACTGTACCTCCATGAATTTCTCAGAAAACCATTGCTTGAATGTTACTTGAATTGATACAAGACTGACAAAATGTTGAAGTATTAAAGATACGTTGTTTAAATGGAAAATAGGAACATGCTGAGAATTGAAATGAACAAAAACTGTCATGTGGTCAATGTATTCATCCCATTTTGCTATATTTGAACAAATGCAACCAAATATAGCTTTTGTATATAAACTGACCGGCCTTTTACTTGTCGAAAGTTTCTTTGCTGGTGAAAAAACTATCTTAGGTTAAATTGAACATAAAAGTTTTTTTGCCACCAATACTGATAAACATTATAAATCGGCTGTATGTTTCTTCTCTGCTGATTGAAGCCTATTATTTTGAGAATACTGTAGGATCATTGGATAAGTTATTAATCAATTCAAAATGGCTTCCAAATTATTAATTCAACATGGCTTCCAGTTAATCAATTCAAAATGGCTTCCAGTTAATCAATTCAACATGGCTTCCAGGCTAATCAATTCAACATGGCTTCCAGGCTAATCAATTCAACATGGCTTCCAGGCTAATCAATTCAAAATGGCTGCTAGGTTAATCAATTCAATATGGCTTCCAGCTAATGATTTCAA